AAAAAAAAAAAAAAACGAATAAATTGTTAGCTGTCATATGTAATTGATTAAATATCCAGCAATTAAAATATTGTTTACTTGTGTTTTACGTGCATCAAGTCCACCAAAGGTCCCTGTATAAAATAAAATAAAATTAATAAAACTAACTTCAAATGAAAAAAATAAGGCTTGAGAATTTTTTTTGTCAATTGTAGTCACCAACTGGATCATGATAAATCTCATTTTCGTATCGTCCTAAATGCATGCCAGTAAAAAAAAAAGGATAGTAATTATCGACCAATCTATAACGCATAAAACCTTAGATTATAAACGTATTCTCACTAACCATTTAACCTGATCACCTCTCCTTCCAACATCCAAATAATCAATCTCTTTACTCCATCAGCACATCCAATGATCCTTATTAAGTCATCTCGATCCATCTTCAAAAGCTTCTTACCATCAATTTGTTGTGACACAAATTTTTGTGAAAGTGATTCCGTCCACAGATCACGTTTAAAATAACCTTGTGTGGTAAACATTATACGTAAATGTGTTATAAGTTGAGAAGAAGACCATGATTGGACCTGAGAAGTGTCAATCGTTGGAAAATCGAACGGTTTCCAGTATGGAACAGAAGTATGTTTTTTGTAAAATTGTGCGTTATTGTTATTATTTTGATTTCGACAATGTTTTGGAGATTTAACTAAGCGAAGCCAATATATTTGTGAGCGTATTTTAGAAATTGTTACATGCGCACAATAGAATATTACTAAATCTAACCTTTTTTATTTCTTGAATTAAATGTTTCTCCAGAAATATACATTTATCTTGCCTTTTTATTAATGATAATGCATAATATAAAAAAGGTAAAAAAAAAAAAAAGAGAATAAAAATTCACAAAATTCCGATTTACTCAAGTTTATAAAGTTTTTGACGTTTTTATACGATGCTGGGAACAATAGGGTAAGTGTCATTAGGAATGACCCCTCAAACCTTTCATAATAATCGAAAAACGATTAACTTTCAACATTAAACATTAAATCGGATTATTAAATAGCTTAATAGCAGAGGTAGCTTAACATTTTAAAGTTCAGATTAAGTTTCAAACACTAACAAAAAAATCTATTATAATTAAATTTCTTAAATATTTTTTTATTTGTATGTTAAAATACGATACATTAAGGGAAAAAAAAAAAACTCCGATAAGGAGGACATTAAAAAACATATGATTACATTATAACTACAGGAGTTAACTAAAAGCTCACCTCATAGTCGAGATGATTATATAGTAATTTTAATTTACAGTTTGGGTTTTTATCGTACCTTACTTATAATATAAAATGTTGACAAGATCCCAAAAACTGGAATTTAACCACAATAAGGAAAAAGATTAATACCTGCACAAAAAGTATCGTATAAGGTAACTTTCTTTAAAGATAATCACCCAGCAATGGGTATCTTAGGTCGGATATAAACTTGCAACTCGTCACAGTGTCTAACCATGGTGAATGAAGTTTTAAGTGGTGCCTTCTTATCAGCTAATTCAATATCGAATCGTCGGAAAAGTAAAGCCGTCAAAAGTTTGAGTGTTGACATAGCAAAATTTTTTCCAGGACCTTTTAAAATGAATTAATATTTTTTAAGTTTTTTTTATTTTATTTTATTTTTATTTAGTTATTTTTATTATTTTTTTTTTTAACCAGTATTCTAACTAATAATACTTACAAAGT